GTAAGGCGCCCGGGGACTTCCTTCGCTCCAGGGCCAGGATTCCAGACCCCGGAGGGAACGTGGCGCGCGGTTGGGTAGCAGTGAGGGGGAGGGGCACCAGCCCGGGAAGAAGCGAGGCGGTGGCCGCGGAGCCCGGCTGAGCGGTGACCCTCGCCTGAATTCGGGCAGCGAGGCCAAGGCCGGCGGCCTTCGGGATAGAGCCGCGCGTGCGGGGCGGAGGAGGGGGTGCTTCCGGTGGATACCTTGCCCCAGCGGCGGGAGGGAGCGGGATGGGCCGGGGAGGAGGCTCGCGTCCCACTGCCATCCCCTCCCCGCCTGTCCCCCGGTCCTGACGCTGCCTTTCCCCCACCCTCGCAGAGAGAGACCTTGTCCCTCCGCCGGACTCGCCGCCGCAGCAGTTAAAGTCGCCCTTCCAGCCGGTTCGCGAGAAGTGAGTGCCGTTGGCTTTTACCACCGGGCAGGGGAGGGAGCGGGGCCTGGCGGCGATGGGGTCGCGCGGCCCTTGTCGAATCGGAGCTGTTCTCCCGCCCCGCGCACCGGGCCAGCTGGGTCCGTCCGCGTTTCTCCCGAGCCGGGAGCCGCGAGGGGCAGGCGACCCCGCCTCCCGGTTGCTCGGCGGGCAGAACCGGCGACGCGGGGTCCCAGCGTGCATCCTGACCGCGTTTTCCTTCTTGTCTTGCTGTTTCCCCCGCAGCTCACTGGCCCCGCAGGAGGGAACGCCGCGGATCCTAGCAGCCCTCCCGTCCGCCTGATTCAGGGTCTTCCTTTATTTTTGCGGGGGGAGGGGGGAGGAGTTCGGGAGAGAGGGGATGAGGGAGGAATTAAGACAAATAATTCAGACCAGTGTAAAGGACAAACTGGGCAACGACCTCAACGACTCCCATCCGTCTCTTTCTGCAGAAAGGGGCTCATCCCGGCCGAGCCCGTCCAGGCCGCCAGCCTCTGCCCACGGCTGGGCTAGGCGGCCGTCACTGCGGGCTGCGTTGATTATCGTTCGGTAAATGCCCCCACGTGCTTGTGTCTTTTTTTCTTTCTTTCTGTATATAGAGTGATTTCAGATTGTACATAGCGCGTCAGCAAACTTGTCTAAATCATATATTTTTGTCTAATAAACTCAATGAAATGGTGCCTGCTGCTCCTGCTGCTGTGTGTGGCTGGGGGTGTCCCCGGAATCCTGGCCTGGCCCGAGTGCCTGTGGCTTGGGGAGGACAGGCCCTGGGAGTCTGCGCCCCGGAGGCCGGTGTTTCTCACTCTTGGTTGTGGACTCTGTGATGTCACTAGTGCAGTTTCCCGTTGGCAGTTGGATACTAACCATTCGCGTGTATGTCTGGACGTGTCTTTCTCAGGACAGAAATGAGTTTGATATTAGGCAGTTTATAAAACGCTGTCTTAAAGTGGGTACCTGTGGGGGGAGAATTTCCAGTCGTGTCCCCAAAGGGGAACTTGGGGTTTGAAATCAATTTATACCTAGTTGTCTCGACAGTGCATTGTGGCGTGGGGCCGTTCTTGGGTAGAATGAAGACATAATGGAGTATGAAATTTTGCTTCTAATGTACTTCTTAGTTATTTGGGTAAATCAAATGTGGAGAAATTCGAAGGCTCTTTTGAGCTCCTCTGATGGAGCGCAGAGATGCAGCGCCGCGGGGTGTTCCCTTGGGCCTGTGAGCCACGGGGCTCGGTATTGGGGGCCCGTAAAGAAAGAAGACTCTCCTATGCCAGGGAAGCCCTTTTAAACCGCGCCTTGCACGGGGCGCCCTGAGTGAGCGAGCAGGGACGCAGACGACCCCCCTGATGGCCTCGGTCAGGCCAGCGGGCAGCTGGGAGCGAGGGAGGAAAGCGCGGGACAGCGCAGGCCTGCCTGCGCCCTGGAGGATGATGGCCCCAAGCCTTTGAGGACGGAGCACGGTGCGTTTGGAGCGAGACGCGCAGCAGCGGGCGCCCCGAACAGGGAGCAGACGACTTTTGCGTTGAATTTAAGAAAACCAAGAAAGCAAACATTTCCGAAACTGCCAGGAGAGAAAGGGTGCGGGCTGCTGCGGACCTGCCCAGTGGGGAAGAGGCCGAGCCGGGCGTCGGAAAAGACCTCCCACGCCATCTCCATATTCGCTCTCGAACTCTTTCCGGACCCGACGTCGGGGGCTGCTAGTGGGCAAGGCGTGGCCGTCTGGCTCGGGGGCTCTGCTGCCAGCACAACCCGCGGCTGGCTCCGAGGACGAGGGGACGCCACCCCAGGGGCCACGTTCCCCGGAGCTCTCCTCCTTCTCCAGCCGCCCCCTCCTCCGTTCTTTTTGGGGCGGAAGGCGCGAGGGCGGTAGCAGGTGGGGGCCGCGCGCGGAACGGAGGGCCGGCCGGCCGGCGCGCGGTCTGCGGCCACCGTGGAGCCGCTTCCAGCCCGAATGGACGTGCTCGAAGCGCCCTCTATAGGCCGAAAGCGGAATGGGGTCCTGGCTGAGGCGCGGATCTCGCTCCTGGTGAGGGGCGCAGAATCTGGGGGTGCTGGGCCTTTGGGGGTACCGTGGGCGCGAACCTCGACTTATCGTGCAGGGGATTTCCTGTGTTCTTGGGTGCCACCCACTCGTTTGAGTGCTGGGGTAGGCTGCTGACATCCGGGGGGAGAGAAGTGAGTGGCAGGTTGCTTGCAGAGCGTTTGTTATTGTCTTGTCTCAGGTGGGCCTTGCCAGTTCAGAGAGGACTTCACGCTGGGGCTTGGGGGTCAGCACAGCCCTGGGCTCCCCATTCCTCAGTTCTTGGAATGGAACACCCTGACCAACCGCTGGGGCCAGATGGATCCCGTGTCCTTGGCGACAGCCCTCCAGAGAGCTCTGACCAGCCGTGTCCTGTGCCTCTGAGGAGGAATCGTGTCTTTGGCCCACAGACACGCTGCTCTGGTGTCCAGTGCGCGGGGAGATCCCTTCCAGGTGGGACTCGGGAAGCGGTATAGGGTTCGCGGGGGCAGTTTGAGTCCCTTGGCCGGGCTCCGCCCTCTCCTTTCTCAGACTCAAGGTGCTCCAGGCAGCACCAGCTGCTTGGGGATCCTGTAAGTCCATTCATTGTTTAAGTCCGTTTAAGACCCATAGTGCTGTTGCCTGGTTTGCTGGGCCAGCACTACTCAATGGAGGGGTTCCGGGCCTCAGAACCCCATGGGGACGGGAGAAGCTTCCCATACAAAGAAATCAGATCTCCAGCCTTGGAGATGTTTGTTTTGAGGGAAAAGCTAGAAATTAATTTTTAATTGAGCACCGAGAGCGGCATCTTTGTTTTTCGTGTGCTGTTTGTTTCTATTCTCATCTTTTCCGACCACGTAGCCACCCAGGTGTGTGCGGCCCGGGGTCCTGTTGCCCCCTCGGGGGTAGCTGTGCACGCAGCATTTCCGCTCCTGGAATATCTGGGGGTAGATGCAAACCCCCTGTTGTTGAAAAGCTAAAGTGGAAGTTTCTCCGCAGTGTTCTGCACGTGCGAAGGTGCTCTCCGGCCCTGGCCAGGGAGAGCTTCAGAGGATGGCTGTCGTTCTGCGGTTTGAAGGGAGGAGTAGGGGTGACGGAGGCCCCCAGAATCAGTGTTTGCATCCTGATGCTCCCTCCTCCTGGGGAGAGGAACAGGCTTCCTAGAGTAAGGACACTCTGAGTTGGGGACAGACTCTCTGTTGAGTCTTGGTGGGGGTAGGGTAACAGTCCAGCCCCCCCCCCCTTTCTGCTCTAGCCCGGGCAGGTGCCCAGGTGACGGGATCATCAGAGGCACAGCCTTGGTAGATCAACTGCCCCCAGTTTCTGGCGGGAGGAGTGGGGCTGGGCGCAGGCCCCACCCCCTCTTGACCTGCTGGAGACTCTGAAACCTCAGCTCACTGCCATCCTCCCTCCCCACTCCGATCAATTACATTCACCAGCACATTTATCTCGCCTGCAGTATGGAGAATTCATATTCATATCTCGGTTTTAGTGGTCTGACACTGATTAATGTAATACAGTCCGTGGCTCCGAGGGGCGTGCCACCCTATGAATCATGCCCTGTAAAGTTTCAGTCGTCCTTGTAGATGGGACTGTGCCGGAGAGTGAGGGAGGGGGCAGGGAAAGGAGCGAGGGCAGGGGGGCCCCCCTCTCCCCAGCCACTCATCTTTGCTTCCCTTCCCCTGGTTCCCCAGGCAGGGTGGGGGTGGGGCTGGGCTGGCACTGCCCGGGGGAGACCACTGATTCACAGACATCAGAACCCTGGTCTTCAGAGCCCAGTGTGTCAGC